TCCTTCCTATAATGTCTTTCTCTTCCTTACAGTATCTTATTCCTTCCTATAATGTCTTTCTCTTCCTTACAGTATCTTATTCCTTCCTATAATGTCTTTCTCTTCCTTACAGTATCTTATTCCTTCCTATAATGTCTTTCTCTTCCTTACATTATCTTATTCCTTCCTATAATGTCCTTCTCTTCCTTAAAGTATCCTATTCCTTCCTATAATGTCCTTCTCTTCCTTACAGTATCTTATTCCTTCCTATAATGTCCTTCTCTTCCTTACAGTATCCTATTCCTTCCTATAATGTCTTTCTCTTACTTGCAGNTTATAAGGGATTTAGTCTGACAGTTAATTGTAGCAAGAGATATAATCGTGTATCAATGCAGTCATTACACATGAACATCATCACCGACGTCTCTCACTCACTGTCTAACAAGCAATGGAATCTTTCAAATTTTCGTCACAATTTTACACAAATTCCTCGGCCAATATCTGGACACCTTGTGATCTGAAATCCGACCAATTCATCATCATTGGTATGAACGCATTTCCTGGGTTACAAATTTCACAATTCATGTTTAACAGGTAAAATATAGAACGGATCATACTTCAAGTGGGTTCCATTGAATTAACTGAAGTCGCACAAATGGATTGAAGAGGTTAGGTAAACAGAGTCCAATGTAGGCTTCAGAGTAAGTCTCTCCATATTCTCGTTTCCAAGATTCGAATCTTTCTCGCACACAAGTCACTTCCTTGAAATCCTCTTCTACATCTTCAAACAGTCTAGCCACACCAGAATCGATGGCATCTGAAAATAGATCACAAAATCATCACATAAAATAAATTCAGTTATCTTCTAAACAGAAAAGGATTATTGTACCACTGCTGGCAAAACACTAGAAAATTAGGCTGTGTTTTTTTCGTTTCGTGTAGCGCACTTGGGCCAGGTCACTACTGTTGACCAGGTAGCAGCAATCCGAGGTCCAGAGTTCAAATCCTGGTCTAGCCTCGCTGAACATTTATTCACAGTGTTCTGTTTACTCGAAATATATTACCTTTTTCTAAATTGAATTTTGTAATATCAGACTGATTTTCCTCATCGTCAGAGGACAGTCCCTCATGATGGCCTCGTATGCTCTTTACTTCTCGCTTTCTTCGCCTCCTGGACCTTCACAAAAACAAGATAGAATTTGATAAATTTCTACACAATAACTTTTAAATTAGTAATTTAACAGATAGAACTTTACATTATTAACAAGATAAAATGTTCTTTACTATAGTTTGTTAATTGTACGCTGATTGGGTTCCTTGAAGAATTCAAAGTTTGAATATTGTCAGCATTGTACAAGGCCCTTCATGAAAATCCCACCTGTTTTCATGTAAATCATTTACAAAGCATAGTAAACACTCATGAAGTGTGTGTAACCTGTGTTTGACCTCATACAGCCTTACCTTCTAGCTTCACGCTCTGCTACCCTCATCTGTTTGGCCTGTCCTTCAGATGACTCCATCACGATCTTAGCCTTACCTAAATGGCAAAAAATATCTACATTATTTATTGGTTCTAAAATATGGATGAATCTTGCATGGTCAATCCCATACAGGCTAGACAATAAATGTAGCCCAATGGTCCGAGACTAGTGAAATGTCCAGCTGGACTAGTGGTTCTGAAAACAGCCAGCCCAATTCACTGATATTACTTATCCATATTGAATCATATTGGGTTGGTGGAAATTGTGTATGGGCTAGTAAAATTGGAAACTATCAGTTAAACTGACTAGCGTTTTAAAAAAAAATATTTCTAACCCTGGAGGTCAGTAAAGCTACTGAGGAACAGGTTTACAGTCAACATGCAGTCCATCCAGTCTTAACTAACCCCTGTATGATGTGAGAATTGACACAGACTAGAAATTTGACACATGATAAGTTAGGCAATTTGTCACTGGCCCACTATAGGAAAATGCATAATGGGTCAATGAGATTTATGAACACAAGGTGGAAGGCTGAGCCTTAAGAAGTAGTCTTACTGACCCGTTATATTGCTATAGTGAATCGAAGCTGAGCCTCAATTAACCTCTATATTCCTACTGTAGGTCCAGATCAGTGACAAACTACAAACCACCTGTTTTCAGGTTCCAAAACTTAATCAATATTCTATACTTTTATATATACTTCTTCCAATAACAAGTCAAAATTGGCATCAAATTGGTAGTTGATTTTGCTGTCAATAACGTCATGCATGTGACATATGCATCCTGATGGCTTTTCCACAAAAATCTCACTTAACCACTCTAGTCTCTAGGGTGTGAAAATTATTGACTAGTGAAGAAACGGCAATCATGTCCCAGAGTAATAAATCATATTTAATATTTCTTTCGGCAGTGAACTTCGTTCAACTGCTGACAATTGACAGTTATAAAGGGGTACAACATCCAAGGATCAAAGTTCAACTTGAACTTTATATTTCAATTCTGTCAAATTCTCAAATGCTAATTGTTTCCATATAAGATGGCAGACGATTGGACAAGGCATCATGACATCATAGCATATGGTCTTTGGGGCAGGACCAGCCAAAAATAAAATAATTGTAATCAAGCAATTTAAGATTCCCTCAGGTTGTGGTTTACGTAGGCAGTTTGTCACAGTCAACTAAATGAGGTTCAACGTAACATAAAGAAGTTTCAAATCCAAAATAATATTTTTTATAACATATGGTCTATAATGTGTACAGTGGATGAATATTTGACCTAAGCTTTTAAGGCCATAAACAGCACTCTAAAATGAGATTTCTACTTAAGACAGGACATCTGATCATGAGAATAATTAATGTTCTAGGCTAGCATAAGATTTCGAATGCATCAGCTTAAGATTTCTAAGATATCAGCCTAACATTTCTTATCTATTGGCATAAGATTTCTAATGTATCAGCAAACAATTTGAAGGTAACAGGGTAAGATTTCTAATGTATCAGCCTAAGAGTTCTAATGTATCAGCCTAAGAGTTCTAATGTTTGGACTTTTGAGTGGTAGAACATTCGACCATGAGGGACATACACATCAGTGGACTGTAGATGGATACCGACTTGTCATGTAGTCCTGACACTGATCGCGTACATCCTGCTGTCGTCGGGATACCAACTGCTCGGACTGGCGTCGCAGCAGATTCAACATCCTCGTCTCCAGGTCATTGATGATGGGCACCTGTTATAAAATCAATGTCATTTATTACCAGATATTCTAATAGTTACAAAAAAAATCCCTTTACTTTTCAAACTGTAATAAGTGTTTGGTAAGTTCTGATAAGTCCAGCAGAATCTTGCATACAATGTTCTATTTCTCATACAATTAGCATACCCCGGTACTTACATACAATGTTCTATTTTCTCATACAATTAGCATACCCCTGTACTTACATACAATGTTCTATTTTTCATACAATTAGCATACCCCAGTACTTACATACAATGCTGTAATTCTACAATGTCTTGTTTTTTACATGTCTTCAATTTTAAATAATAATGTCTTGTTATTATAAAGTGTTTAATTCTTTAATAAAATGAAGTCTCATTTATACATCAAATATTTTGCTTTCATAAAATGTCAAGTATCTTCTTATTCCTTCCTATAATGTCTTTCTCTTCCTTACAGTATCTTATTCCTTCCTATAATGTCCTTCTCTTCCTTACAGTATCTTATTCCTTCCTACAATGTCGTTCTCTTCCTTACAGTATCTTATTCCTTCCTATAATGTCCTTCTCTTCCTTACAGTATCTTATTCCTTCCTATAATGTCTTTCTCTTCCTTACAGTATCTTATTCCTTCCTATAATGTCTTTCATTCAACATATTTGTATACAATGTCTTACAACGCTGCAAGAAAAGGGCAACTGTTGCAGATTTCCCCTGCAACACTCAATTAATTTCAATTCAAAGAAGTTAAATCTGTGAGTGAATATCTTTATAACTCATTAAACGATTCAAGGACATAAAACCATGTAAATGTTCTTGAGGTCGCAGCAGCATCTCAATACAAACAGTGATTTATGTATCTGTGAACAAATATTATGGCTAGATTCAAAATGTCTTTGGGAATCAATACCAAATTAATTTAAGGAAGAAACATGACAGTCTCCGTTAACAAAGTTCAGTGGAATAGCTGACAAATCAAAGTCTTATGTTTTCAATAGCAACCTAGCTACCAGATGTTGTACACAATGTTGTATTTGGAGCCCCTTTCTTTCACCACAAGACCATAACACTCGCAGTATGGCTTCAGATCCATCAATAACTAGCACTGTTATGGTTTGGCTTCTGAACTCCTAATAAGCAGTGCTACAGTTTGACTGATCAATAATCAATCTTACTTCGAAAAGGCTGCCAACAAAATGGACACCTTCGCATTCAATTAAACCAACTAGATATTCAACATCTACACTTTAGTCTTTCAGTTTTCCCCAGGTTTTGAGGATTAAGACTTGTGTCGATGTGTACCTATTAAATACACACTGCAAGTTGAGATTCATATTCCCTTATTTTATTTTTTATTTTTTTAGTAATAAGTCAAAAGGCACTGTATATCTGTTTTGACTCTACCTAGAGGGAGGACCTTGAAAAAGACACAGCAATGAGCATCTTGTAAATACATGTTATCTGATACACAAGGACTTGAAGGTCATGGGCCAGGATGTTTTGTGAATTCTTATTTCATTGTATGGCTCTGACACAAGAGTTGTTAAAATGTTCTGGCACAATGTAAGCATTAGTCCTTTTATAAATTAAGTACAAAATAGGCAATTATACCGATATTCAATTGACAGAAGCATTTCTTTTGTATTTTTATAAATTATTGAAATGGTTTCTTTCATGAAAGTCACTCATTGAATATTAATAAGCACATTATTTTGTATATGTCATTTGAGACAACAACCTAAATGACCTGCAACATATCAGATAATCTGACATCACTCCGAAGAAGTTTAAACTACAACATAAAGTTCCTATGATAAGTGGTTCAACCGAAGCAGAATCCTGCAAAATTATTGTCCGGGATACAAAATATTTCTAAGTGATGCACTTTTCATGTAACATGCAATTCAAGGCCATTTTCAAACTTATCATAATAGAAACTTGCAAAAAGGTAGACCTGTAAATTTTTTCATCTTTTCTCAGTGAGTATGATAAACTTTCACCTTGTTTATTTATTATATTGATGATTTTTAAGATTTAAATTATGAATTAAACAACTCTTGATGATAGAGGCATGACATTACCGTCTTCAAAATGTCAAGTTGTCACTTTAAGCATGTCCTTGCTGTAATCCTTCATCACCCTGGACCAAACGGGGAGACTTGCATTGTGTCAGGGGAGCTAACCCTATCATTCTCATACACAATGCAAGCCATCCTAGTCGACATGTTCTAGGTTGGTTAAGGATCGGTCATAAGGAAATGCTGGCTGACACACATTTGAGTTTGTTAAAAGGAGCGACAATATCACAACAAAAGACATCTAATAGGCGTTATCAACCCACCTTCTCATTGAGACATTCAACCAAGTCTCTCACATACCCCCTCATTTCTTGGAAGAAGCGATATCGCTTCTCCAGTGCATCAACACTGCCTTCGCATGTGACAGTGCTTTGATCAGCATCGTCAATGTCAGTGATGAGGCTTTCCCGTTCCTGTGTGTGGCGCCGGCTGACTTCCTCCATAGAATCAAGTCTGAAGCAACACAAAGAGGTTTACTAGGTTAGAGCAGCTGATGTTTAGTGCCGTGTTATTTTCAAGTTTTGATGGAAATTCATAATTTGTATTTACAGCTATATTACTGACTGTATATATTACAAGTACCAAAATATTTGTTTTTCGTTGGAAAAATCTGAAAATATCCATTGGCAATTCTGGAAATAATTGTACCAGTGTAAGCTGTTCATGGATATTTGCTGACATGATGAATTTGCCCTTAATGATGAGAGTGTGAAAAGAGCCAAATTTAAACTCCATCAAACATTTCCCATTCCTGGTTCACATTACTGCAGAAATAACACTTTCAGGGAGATAAACTTGTATACATCATCTTGTATGGCTACGGATATCTGGCAACTTGGCAGTGGAAAAAAAAAAATCATTTCCAATGTAGATTCAAAATTTCTTATCTATGTATTCATCAAGAGTTTTGAGTAAATCTTTTAAGTTATCAAACATGAAAGACCTTTCTTTGAGACGTTTCTTAATGACATCCATATTGATATCTGCCAGGTTGTTGGTCTTAGACATGGCGGTGAAAGGTTGGAATGTAGTGGCGGTGGTGGTAGACTGGTAGGTGTAGCCATTACTCTGTCTAGTACCCTCATCAGACGCCTCCTGATCCTCGGTTTTTGTATCCACGGGCTGTCCGACCTACCAACAATGTCATACAAGGCCATAACGCAAAGTCAACACTGAAAATAATTTCTTTCAACATCTGAAACAATTCTGCCTTTGCTTACCATGTTAACACGTTGAGGACACAACATTTTCTTTTCACTTTATGCAACACATAAGAAGTTTAGCAGAGGAGTATTGTATTTCGTAACCAAATACATATTTTCAGGATTTGAAGGAAATTATTTCAAGGCCCCATACCCGACAATAGTTTTTTAATTATTTGTTGAAATAAAATATTAACAGTCAAAGAATTGATGGTGACAGTTTAAATGACATAATTACATTAGTGCATTAATTTTCCCAGAAGAGTATTGTTCACATTTCTGTTAAGTGATCAGAACATATACCACTTCACAATGACCGGTCAGGACACAGTTGCAGCCTAGAATTGGAGGTTGATGTTATAAAGACTTGTCGGTGGGTGGTCATAGATCACTTACCGTGACTCCTTTCCTGATCTGTTGTGCCTCCCACTCCCTCTCTTGGTCACTTTCCTCGTCACTTCCTAAGTACAAATATATCATTCCGATCATGTATAAAGTTCTGACAATATTTTGGTTATGCCATAACAATTTTTAACTATTTACAAACTTATATAAAGAAAACAAGACGTTGATTAAGCCTGTATCTTACACCTAGTTGTATAATCTTTAAACTGTTTTTCTATTTATTCCCCATTTTGTAAATTTTACCGAGTAATCACAGGAAAAAGCAAATAAATCTGAAACAAAATCGTATTCAAAAAATCCTATTTGAATAGGAAAAGTACAATTTCTGCAAAGATAATGCATGTCAGAGGAAAACAGTGTAATCTTAAATAACCCTTTCACCACTGTAGACCATAATGAACTCCTCCAAATTAATGCACATTATAGTCCACTAAAATTGCATAGGGGTGAAAGGATTAACAAACTGGCACATGAAGTAAAATGGACAACTTTTTTTCAAAACTAATAGCAATCTATTGTTTGATTCTTTATTACCATGCTCTGCAGCCAAGAATTGGTCCTTGATACGCTGCCGTTCCAAAGCCTCGACGTTTATAGTGAAGTCTATTCTGCCATCTTCATCTTCACTTTTATCATTGTCATCCTCTCTACAATGGATAACAAGACATGGAGTTTCTGTTTCTTACGAGATGGATAAAACAAGTCTATAGAAAGTTATCATTTTGGGGAAAATCTGTCCAGCTACAAAAAAACTTTGGGATATAACGCAGATGTCATGAGATAAAAGGAATCATCACATACATGATTGGTATTTAGTCCATTTCGCACATAGTGTGCTACCATTACTGCTATGCATTGGCAATGTCTTGCCATGCATTCATATTAACCATTCTACATTTTATATAACTGACTCAAGATCACCCATCATCTGCTACAGAATGACCAGTCAGATTTTATATAAATCAAAGATCCACCATATGTCTTCACACATCCCATCTTTTTGCTTACAATACAACTATATATTAGACTGATAGTGTTGGTTTCAGCAAATGAAACATAAATCAAAATCAGCCTGCCCTTCACATATCAGAATCTATATGCAGATACATGCAAAATATACCTTTACAGAACCTGTCATGAACTGATATAATCTAGATGTCATAGATGAAGCTGTACTATCTGGTGACATCTCTAGATCTGTAGATCAGAGTTCTTGATCAAAAATTCACATGTCAGTCATTTGGTCTGACATTGATTTAGCTTTTGTCAGCCCAATTTTTTATCTGGATTGGGAAAAGTCGTCAGTTCTATTTCTATTCAAAATGTATGCATGGTTATGGAAGAATACTCGTAATTAAAGGCATTTGCTGTTGTACATTGCATGTATTTGCTGAATATTTATTTATTTTTAAGAATCAATTTAATTCATATTCAATTTCATATTCAACTTCAAGGTATCTTTTAACATTTCTGAAAGTATCACTCTCACTCATATGTACTGCTGCAAGATGAATGTGTGATTTTTTGTCCACTCGTTTAGTAATTTTTGGAACCAGCAATGAAGAGATTTTTTTGCTTGAACCTTGCATCATATTTGCCCCAGCATGAGTACTAGCCTCGTCTGTCAATACACCTATATAGCTATAATATAATCAAGGTTGCTAACTCGGTCCCCCTAGTAAAATTACCCAGTTCCAGAAAACATGTGATTTTGCCATAACCGTTCGTAGTATGACACTGTTAGCAGTCTAGATCAACAGGAAAATATTTTTTCTTTAATTTGATGTGTGATTTAAAAATTTGCCATAAATCATGCAGTATAATTTTCGGTAGACTCTGTGAAACATCGAAAAATGGTCGAATTTCAGTTGGTCGGACAGTGCTGTCCACAAGATGACACGCTAAATCCCTAATGGGTAGCACATAACACACGGCATGTCAGCTACTCAATGTCAGTAGTGTTTCTACGATAGGAAACAAACTTACTTATATGATAGTTCATGGCCTTACATTATCATGTTGGACACCCTAGTCCAGTTTTCAAGCTGGTCAGGCCGACGATCAGAAATCTGAACAGAGCCTGCAATTTTCTCTAACTTCTGTGACCACGACTGTGATTGGCATCTAAATTTAACTGACCAATCAGAGCCAAGGGAGAGAAAATGGAAGGCTCTGTTCGGATTTCCCATCGTCAGCCTAACCAGCTTGAAAACTGAACTCGGGTGACCGACATGATATCGCGACCAGCACTGGGAACGAACCTGAATATTTGCACAATAGTAACATCGCAGGAATTTTACTGTCGGACACCTGGACCGACATATTGGTTATTTTTGTCGGACTTAGATTTTTTTAGCATTGGGAACGAACCTGAATATTTGCACAATAGTAACATCGCAGGAATTTACTGTCGGACACCTGGACCGACATATTGGTTATTTTTGTCGGACTTAGATTTTTTTATCGGCCAAACCGATAAAACTGATTAATTTAAAGAACTCTGGTAGATCCTATGCCTACCTGACGAGTCTAGACGAGGCATTCTCTGGCTTAGCTGCGTTATCCAATGGCACAAAGTCTCCCATGTTTCTGGCCTGCTGTCTCTTTTTCCTGATATTGTGGATCATGTTGGCATCTGGTATTTCACCCTCTGTAACACACGGTATTGACAGTATTGATTAGAAAATACAGTACTGAGTTAATGTTCACTCAGCCCAGAGTCCAGAGGCTCAATTTAATCATAAACCTGTGGATAATACTAACAGCAGAGGTTGAAAGTATCCACAGATATTTGGATAATACCCTCTCTCAGATTAATCTGTGCCATTCTTTAATGTAAATGGGTAAATTCTCTTAGCAGAAAAAAATGCCACATCTCTTTAAATTTTCATCTGAGATGAAAAATTTACTGATTTTCTACAAGTTACTCAGCCAATCTGATCATTTTCTTCCTGTTTTCAAGATTTTTTATGCTAATGCTTTTTCTCCTTTGTGCAAGAACATTGACAATTGTATTATATGTTAAACTTTAAATAAATATTTTTCTAATACAGTATAAGATATTTAATTTGTTTAAGATCTAAAGGATCCAAAGGCCCAATGGGTCTGCATCGCTCACCTGGTATTAATCTCACAATTGTAACCTTAAGAGTGGGCTAAAATAAAGCTACAGACAAAATATCAGTGTCTTGACTTAAGTCATTCGAAAGAATCTGTTTAATGATCAAAACATATTTACCCCTGTGACCTTGAAAGTCAAACATGGACATTAAATTGAACAAACTCTATAGCCTTCCTCACAGAATGCAACCTGTCAAACATCACCCTAAAGCCCATATACCTTTTGTTTATTGAGGTGACTTTTAAAGATTTATGCACTGTGCATTTGAACAAACTTCGTAGCTCTTCATCCCAGCATACTACTGGCCAAATATCACCCTAGGCATTTTCGTTATTCAGAAGTTGTTTAAAGATTTTAACATATTTGACCCCTGTGACATTGAAAATAGGCAAAGGTCATTCATTTGAAAAAACTTGGTAGCTCTTTATCCCAGCATGCTATACTGGCCAAATATTATCAGCCTGGGCCTCTTGGTTATTCAGAAGAAGTTGTTTCAAGTATTCAACATATTTGACCCGTGTGACCTTGAATATGGGTCAAGATCATTTCTTTTCGCAAACTTTGTCAAGCTTCATCCCAGGAACCTATCAACCAAATATCACTCTTCTGGGCCTTATTGTTAATCAGAAGGTTTTAACAAATTTGACCCCTGTGACCTTGTATATGGGTCAAGGTCATTTCTTTTTGCAATTTGTTGGGCTTCATCCCAGCAACCAACCAGCCAAATATCATGTCATTTGGCCTGTTAGTTAATGAGAAGAAGTCGTTTAAATGGAAAAGTTGACGCCGGACGCCGCGCCACGGCATAAGCTCGCTCACATGGCCCATTGGGCAATCTATCTCTTAGTTCCAGAGAAGTTGCTTAAATCAATATAGCACAATTGCCCCCTTCAGAAAAATATTATAGAAAGTTTTGCAATGAAGGGTTTCTTTTCAGAACTAAATCAATGAATTATTTGTAGTGACACCTACTTCCTAACAACTTGTGTAGAGTGCCTTTGTCCTCTTCTTCACTGTCTAGATCCACGGCTGCGGCATCATCACCATTCAATGTCATAAACTCCTCTCTCAGTTTCTGAAACGACAGTACCACAAAACATTTTAGTTCAGGAAAAAAAACTTGTGCAAATCATCAAAATATTTTGTTGTAGCTACGTATTACAAAACCTCAATTGACAAGCTAACACAAATTTCCAAGAATTTCCAAGTAAATCATAACTTCTAGGAAACACAGCTTCCGTAAAAATACATTGTATATATATCATTCAAAACTTTACATTTAGTTTTGTAAAATCTGCATTATTCTTGATCTTTTAACTCAATTTCTTTCCATAAGCCTTTGACAGTTCTGTGGAAAGACAAGAATTACAATTTAAATATTTCCCCACATGTTTAACTTTCATGCACTTCTGTGCTAGCCGATAAAATTATGATTTAATGATCACAGGCTATACTACCAGAACTTTTTTCTAAATGTTATAATTATTTATCATCCATTTATCGTCAGCTATTATTCACAAATCAACGTTCAATTCATGCAGCAAAATCTTTGTTTTATACTAAAGCTGTTTTTTAATCCATGAAAAAATAAACATATTCCACCTAATAAACTTGTGTGCCATGCCTTTAATTATAATAAGAGCCCTTTATGAAAAGGTTTTTGGTCTAAACATCCACATCAATCACCATAATTTACCATCTTATTTTAAGTTATGTCATGCCATTAATTAGAATTGTGTAATGTTCTAAAATCAACTGATTTTTCCAAAATTGGCAATTGCAATAACATGGTTCATACAAACTTTTGACTTCAGAATTTAAGGACTTTTCAAGGGTTTTTCAAGACAAATTTTGAAAATTCAAGGGCTCTTTTATAGTGCAAAATAAACAAACAATTTTTATTAACAATAAGGCCTTGATGGGCTGGGATTGAAGGAAAGTCATTGGCATCTGTGTTAGGATTTGGATAAGGAACAGTCGACGTAGGTCTCGATGTATTTGACGTTGAAGTAGAGGTATTAATATAAAAGTCTGTCAAAGGCCGAATCTAAGTGGTGTCCGAAATTTTCACGCGTTTTTGACTTTTCATATGTGATGTTAGGGCGTATTCCCCCATCTTGCCAAGATCGATAATTCTGTTACACAGCGAGCACAAGGCAGAAGTCCTATCACCCTTGAACTCCCTCACCCAAAAAAATCTGGGGTCATCAAGCCATTTACAGTTTAAAACACACTTCTCCATTGTAGTTGTTCCATTCGTGTTCCCCTCCTGTTAAAAATACTCTTAATGCGCATGAACATCTGTCACTTTGGCGCTTTGACTACGAGACTTACTCAATTCAAACGCACTAATACCAAGAATTAAAAAGTAAAACTAGAAACTTCATCAGTATATGTTTTCCGGATTTATTAAAAATTACGATCTGCAATTTGACGATCAATCTGTGTTAAAAATAAATATTGTTTGCGACGAATGTTTACAAAATACTGAATTAACATGACAGAAACGGATACCCAACTAACTTAACTGATTTTCAAGAGGTTTTTCAAGGGTTTTTCAAGACAGACATCAAATTCAAGGTTTTTTTCAAGACCTGTGCAAACCATGTTATTATATAAGTCTCCAGAGCATGTACAAGGTCAATAACAGCAAAGCAGTAATTCTCATCTGAAGTAAATTACCCGGATCTTTTCATCTGCTTCCTCTTCAGATTTCTTAGGAGGTGGTGGATCCTTGGCACTGGAGTTTTCTTCTGTAGCTTTTGAATACTCTTCTTTCTCCTTCAACTTCTCCTTCTTCAGTTGTTTGGCTAATCTTTTGCTCTGACTGGATTTCTTTATTTTGAAAACATCTCCATCTGTAATTGAGGTTAAAATGAATTACAATTCTGTCATTTAACACAATCTTCTCACGATTGTACATATTAACCAACAAATTAAGTGAGTACCTTTGAATGAATTCCAACTTCTATTAATAATGTGGCATTCAGATGAAATGATCAGGGCCGTTATCACTGAAAGTGTTGAATAAAGAGTTGTTATTCTATGGAATAGGGATGGACAATAACTTCAATAACTAAGATACCTACAGGTACACCGATTCCTTGTGAATCTTTACAAATAATATGATTGTAGTAAAAACGTTTTTGAAATGCAAGAAAATGTACCTTCATAATATATAAAAATATTATTTTTATAAATTACATGTAATAATTTCGAGTAGTAACCTTGCTCAAAAATATTATTTTTGAAAGGAGGACCTAGGTGCCAATCAATTCTGTCATTTATCATACAGGTCCAGTACACTCTGCCGATTGAGCTACAATGTACATGTACCTATATAGCTATATATTCACCTACATATTACATTATAGCTGCATTGAGCTATATTTTCTCAGATTTCATTTTTCATTAAATTAAAGCAAAGTCGCATAAACAATAAGGTTTATGGTAATGTTGACTATAAAAAGCATACAGTTAGATGTTTATTTTCATTTTTCATAAACGTGAAATTTCCATTTTTTACACCATTATTTTTTTAAAAGAATACATATATTTAATATCTTTTGTTATCAACCTAATCATAAAATCTTCTTTTAAAAGCGACTTTGTTTCGTTTTCCTTAAAAAAGAAAATCACATGAAAATAGCTCAAAAGAGCTATTTCAGATAGGTCAATAGAGCTATTATAGGTCTTTAAAGCTATATAGCTCAATCAACAGAGCGTACTGGACCTGTTATGGGCCAGAGGTTCTATGTAGGAAGCTAAAACAATCATTTGAGCTATCTGATCTAAAGCATGGGCAAGATTTGGGAACAAGAGGCCTACAGTATTTATTTTTGTTGTTGAAATATGTACCAATTTGAGTAAAAGATAGTTAAGTATAATGTTAACTCATTCCTAGACCGATTTTCAGTGAGATCGGCCTATTAGAACTTGTTTTTAAGTTTGAAATAGGTATTTTCAAAATGGCGGCCATGGCAGCCAAATTGGATTTCTGATTGACCCAAAAAATAACAACACTTTGTCAGGATCATGAGTCGATCATTCCTATAAATTTTCAGTTCAATCGGCCAAGTAGAACTTGACTTTAAGTTTTAAATAGTTTTTCAAAATGGCGGCAGTGGCGGCCATATTGGATTTCTGATTGTCCTGAAAAATAACAACACTTTGTCAGGACCATGAGTAGATCATTCCTACCAACTTTCAGTTCAATCGGCCCAGCAGAACTTGACTTTAAGTTTGAAATAGTTTTTCAAAATGGCGGCCGTGGCGGCCATATTGGATTTCTGATCGACCCGAAAAATAACAACACTTTGTCAGGACCATGAGGCGATCATTCCTACCAACTTTCAGTTCAATCGGCCCAGCAGAACTTGACTTTAAGTTTGAAATAGGTTTTCAAAATGGCGGCCGTGGCGGCCATATTGGATTTCTGATCGACCCGAAAAATAACAACACTTTGTCAGGACCATGAGGCGATCATTCCTACCAACTTTCAGTTCAATCGGTCCAGCAGAACTTGACTTTAAGTTTGAAATAGGTTTTCAAAATGGCGGCCGTGGCGGCCATATTGGATTTCTGATCGACCCGAAAAATATCAACATTTGTCAGGACCATGAGGCGATCATTCCTACCAACTTTCAGTTCAATCGGCCGAGCAGAACTTGACTTAAAGTTTGAAATGTAAAATGTTAACGGATGACGGACGACGACGGACAAAAACAGATAGCAATAGGTCACTTGAGCTAAAGCTCAGGTGACCTAAAAATACAACATTAAAATTACAGGAAACAGATGGAAATGATCATTGCCTTACATTTTAAGAACGTTTATCTTATTAGAAACATATCATTAAAATAAAATTACGATACTCCTAGAGTATCCCTTTCTCTTTAACAGGTTGGGTACAAAGGGCGCATATGGGTAATAATCATACATTTGGATAACAGTTACCCATTTGCAGTAATAATTTTATTACTCAGATGGGGTATCAAGTGAAATAACAAGAGGCCCATGGGCCTTAACGGTCACCCGAGTCCTACAGTATTTATTATTGTTGTTGAAATATGTACCAATTTGAGTAAAAAATAGTTAACATTAACTTAAGTTTGTCAGGACCATGAGCTGATCATTCCTATACCGAGTTTCAGTTAAATCGGCCTATTAGATACAAAAGTTATTTTCAAAATAGCGGCTGTGCTGTGGCAGCCAAATTGGATTTCTTATTGACACGAAAAATAACAACACTCTGTAAGGACCATGAGTAGATCATTCCTAACAAGTTTCAGCTAAATCGGCCCAGTAGAACTTGACTTTAAGTTTGAAATAGTTTATCAAAATGGCAGCCATATTGGATTTCTGATCGACCCGAAAAATAACAACACTTTAATTGTCAGGACCATGAGTTGCTCATCCCTACCAAGATGTGCATACTGATAGCACATATAGTTCTTTTAAACACTTGGAGTAAACAAGAGGCCCATGGGCCTTAACGGTCACCTGATATATTTATACAGAGAGTTGATTTTGTTTTTAACATGAACAGAAATATTATTCAAAGTGACAAAAAACAATAAAACCACCTTATTCAATATCTAGCATACAGATTTCAGACTAAAAAGTATTTGAAACTAGCACCTCTGATTCTAAACAAGGAAAATGAAGAAATTTTAGCA